TATTCAAGTAATTTTCTGTTCGGACCTAGGGCCCATTTGACTAGAAGTCGCTCATCCATGAAACTGTTATTGGGAACTAGAAAGTGTAACTAATGAGGTCATAGGGTAAAGGAGAGAATATAATGGTATTAGTCTGCTGAATAGATATAGAATTAATATGATAGTTCATAATTTATTTCTCAAAAAAGAGATCAGAGAATTGATCTGCCCTAGTCATAGACACATCTGGTAGATGTAAATTAACAGAGATCTTCAAATGGTCAGTTTAGGAAGAATAAGACATTGTGTAATGCTCAGCTCCAGAGATGGCATACACGTTATAATCTGTCACTAAAAATCTCCGTGATCTTCCAGATGTTTTACATAATTCCAAGAAAAATATTTGTAGAAAAAACAGAACAGTTGTGCATAAGAATGCAAGGGGTTTCTCACATCAGGCCTGCACAAGCTCATGCTAGAACAAAAGAAACAAGGATGGAGAACAGAGTTAGGCATGAAATCTCACCACCTCCTGCAGAGTGTTTGATTTTATAGGTTTTCTGAGAGTCAGTTATTATCAATATTTTTTACTCCTGGTAGTTTTACTAGACTGCAGAGCATGCTCCTGACCTACTACTTATTCAACAACATAAACAGGACTTTTTGGGGAGAAAGAATAAATTTCAAACTTCATTGAATAGGAAGGTGAATGTGGAGGAGTGCACATGCAAGAAGTTAGGTAGCGGTGAATATAGCAAAAAATATACTGTATTTAAGTCCTCAATTAACTAATAAAATATTTCAAAAAATACAAGAAAGCAGCGAGACACATAAACAAAAGGAGTGCATATATTGGGAGGGAATTGGGCACAAAATTTCTAGTTCTTTATTTGGAAGCGAAGAAAAATACTGGAAGTCAATTTTTCTGTTCTAGCAGAATGTAGATATAAATGTAAATGTATATACAGATGTATACATACATATATGATGCACACATTTGACAATTTCATACATCTATACAGTCTTGTGAGTACATTGTAGCTTAAAATCCCTATTATGCTGTCCATAAAAAGCAGCTAAGGTGATCAATCGTCAAAATCCCAAGCAATGGAAAGGGGATGGAAACTTTATTCACCAATTTGATCACCATATTTTGAATCTATGGTTTCTCAATATATATCATATAAAAATTTATGCCCAGTACCTATATGATAATGAAAAATTTTGAAGTTGTACACAACATGATTAGTGTTTAAAAGAAAAAAAGGAAAGACACCAAGGCATGCTTGAGTTAAACCATACCAGTTGCATACCATCCCAGGACACTAAGGGAGATAATTCAGAAAACAATGATTAAGCTGCTTGAGTTAAACAAGCAGGGAGGCTACACATAGATGGAGAAGAAGACACTAGGTAGAGTGGATGGCTTTGGAGAAAGAGATAGGGAGTACAAGGTATCACAGAATAATAGTCAGGGTGTGGCCAGCATCCAAAGCAAATTTAAAAGAACAAAATCAAATTGGTATTTCCTGAATCAGCACTCAATTGTGATCAAATCCAAGAAAACTCATGACACACTCAAATATATAAATGTGGTGGTCTGAATATTTCATGCTCTTTATATACAAGGAAGTTTAATCCTATCGCCCATATAATAGATAAATTTGATTTTGATTAATTTACTTCATGTATAATTACTTTTAAGTGTTTTCAACAATGTGAAAATTGTAAGAAATTGGTAATATAATGAGAAATCAAAATATAAGATTGAGTCTTCAAAGATATATTTTTGTATATAATGATGTCCAGCATTGTCAGTGGATGATAATTGTATAAGATGAAATGACATATTCTTTTAAGTTATAGAAATCTCAGAATGTGCTGTTGTAGTTACTTTTCTTTTATCACATAACTTCCATTGAAAATCAAAGAAGATGACATTATTTACTTCTTCCAGTACACTAGATACAAGAGTGATAATGGATAATTTAATATGTTGTTAGTCACATCAGATAAAACCTTTCTACATAGGTGTGAATTATTGCTTAAGGTTAATACAGTGGTGGATATATGCATCTCTATCTGCAAGTGACACATTCAGATAACTTTTAAAAGAATTTCCTCAGTCCTAACAATGACAGAGAGCAATGTTCACTTCTGTCAGATGCTGAAAAACATTCTTACACGTAGGGTTGTGTGCATCTGATTAACTGCCTATGTTTGTGTTTCTGGCTGTGTTGCAATTTACCATGGCAGATTACACATTCTGTGTGAAACACCCAATGATAAAAGGAGCTAGGAAACAAAATGTCAGTGCCAAAGAAAAGTAAAAATTGAGGATGAACGAAGTCCAGTGGCTACAACAGAACAAACACCAAAGAAGGTATTTTCAAATAAATTGATACATTCCAGATAGACCTTCATTAAAGGTTGTGGATAACATTTAAGAGACACTCTTCCCATATGAATACAAAAACACACAAAGCTTAAATTCATGGAAAGAGAAGCATCAATTATAAGAGCACTGACAGTAATGGAAGAAAGAGCACAGAATCCAGTTATAGTTAGTGGTAGAGCCATTTTCACTGCTGAAACACAGAAGGAGGTGACAGTGTGAAAAACTCATAATAACATTCCCTGTGAATTATTCTCCAGAAAATTGGTAGTGGCATGTTTTTATTGCTCTCTTATAATGCCTGAAAATACAATGTACATATATTTACATGTATATTGTGTTGTGATTAACTATTTGGCATTCTCAAAGTGATAATAAAACCTATCATTACTATTATTAAAAAGACTTGTTGATATATCTTGGTCAGTCTAAAAATCGGGTACTTGTTCAACATTTTTGGCATTTTATAACTAAAGTTTTCTCCTGAAAGTTTCATAACATATCTGGCTAAACATGTTCTGAACAAGGAAGATCATAATAGACATGCCAAAGTGGTTGTAGAAGAGACCATAAGAGCTCTCTATTACATGGAGAACTGTAGGCAACTAAGAAGTGCTGAAAGTCAGAGAAATAGTCTCCTAAAGGAAAAGCAAAGCAATCAAATATCCAATAGCAAGTGATAATCATAAAAAATATCCCTAGGTATAGCTTTATATAGAATGACCAGGATGTATTTAGGAAGATGTATGTATATATACAAAATATGTTCATGAAATAACAGTTCTTAAAGACTCCATGAATTGAAAAAGAAGAAAGCAGAGCTAGTTGTGAAGTTCTGGAGAGAAGGGAGGAAAGAGGAAATGCTCCAATTATATTATAATTTCAAAAGGAAAGTAGTGAACAATTTAACACATGAATTCCTTTGGAAAATATTTTAGAATAAGCTGCAAGAAACTATTTCTGGGTTTTGATGGGTGACACTCTATCAAAAGGCATATATATCTTCCTTAGAAGAGAAAATCTCTTAAAGTCCAAATTGTGAAAGATAATATTTATATGACAAATGGACTTATATCAAGTTACTGAAAGAAGAGGTGTTCACAGAGTTGGGATGATATACTTTGACAAAGAAAGTCAACTGCATTTTCCAAGTAAGTGAGAGGGACAATTTCTGCCTCTCATAAATTTCTAGAGTCAATTCTAACTTGAATTTGGAAGGATATTAGTGACGATAAATAACAGGATTTATTCATATGGAGCATAAATATGACCCAGCCTTTACTGAATTCAACTAATGAAAAGCTGAGTTTGGTCCCAGCACACACATGGTCGGTGGAGAGGATATAATCTCACATATTGTTTCTCAGCTTCACATGTGAATTGACACATGAATATGCATGCACACAAAATTTGTGGTTAAAAGATACTTGAAAAAGTCTGTACCATGTACAGTCAATCCAATAGATTAAATCACACTACCCTAAAATTAACTTACATTAATCTGGAAATCTTTATCTATTTCTCATGCTCATATATCATATCACACAATCTAAACAGCTATGATATCCTGAAAGTACACTGCAAAAATTTGGGCCACATAAAAACTTATGTATGAATTTTGTTACCATGATAATTAAGATGATTATTTCTTGTCATGTAAAAATGGGGAGAAAATTGAAAAGAGACAAAGAGGCAGAGGGTTAAGGAGAGGACACATTCCCTCTTTGAAAACAAATATGCACTCTTAAACTGTAATAAAAGACATAACTAGAAGACCTATAAAATGATTTTAGCTTCTAGATAATATTATTGTGTACCAACTTGTATGAAAAAATGGAAAATGTGTTATAAAATGATAAATTTTGAAGTAGGAAAGAACACAGGGAAAGACACATGATAATCTTTTATAGTAACAAAAATATTTCCCTACCACAAACTTAGTTTGATTTTATTTCTAACTTAATAAGAAAGAGCCCCATGTGGCCACAATCACATAACTGTGTCTTTTGAATACTCACATGAAAATAAGATAAAAACCCTATTAGAAATTCAGGGAACAAATGGGAACATTTGTTTTAGAGTAAAAGATTAGCAAATAACAAATTTAATTTAAAAGTGTTAAAGACAGGCATAAAGAGAGATGTTTTGACAACTAAAAGTATTCTCAACTTCTGAATAAAACACACTTACTCTTAAATGAGTGCTATTTAACACATACAAACTTGCAACTCTATCATCACATCAGACAACTTTCAGTGTCATCAACTCTTTTCTAGACTTCTAGAATGCCCTGAAGATCCAGGTCTTTGATTAAACAATCCTTCCTCTAAAAACCTAACATGAGAAACATGTGATTCCTGTGGCTGTAAGGCATGGCAAAGTAAGACTACAAGTTTTCAGTTATCATATTTGGAAACAACAATCTCTAAACAAACAAGCAAATGTACTGTATAGTCTTTGAGAAAAGAAAATAAATGAACAGTAACATACAATTAAATAAGGGATTTTGGATAGAAAGAGAGTCTATCATGATAAAAATAAGAAGTAAGAAAATTTTAATAACAATCCCACCTGGGTCACATGTAATATGAAATCCAAAATAGGATAAATGAGTAATTACACTTACTGTATGTGGGTGTCATTGAAGTAGTGTGGCAGATACGAATGTGGATGTTTGTTCCTTGTTACGTAAGTATGAACTGGAAAAAATACACCAATGTCCACATCTCCGTTACGGTGAAAATCTTCTTTGATTCTGAAATAACATTCAGAGGAGTCATAGGCACATACATGACAAGGCTTAACCAAGATCCTGATAATAGCAACCAAAAGAAAACACTGTACAAATGCACATGTCTGCCCGGACATAAGTTTGTTGGGTGCAGATCTCACAGTGTTCAGCATGTCTATACTTTAGCTCATGTGTCTGTGATTATATGTGCTTTTAGTTTTGTTGATAAGTGAAGCTGTCTCAGTAATCACTTTGAGTACTTTCTTGTATTTCCTCCACTGCCATCTAGGGCTCTGGAATTCTTTCTTCCTTCAGGCTCTGCATCTGATGTCCTGTATTCAGGTGAAAAACAAACTGGAAAACATATTTGGAGAGTTTCTTCTGTACCCATAGGCATCATGACTTCAGCAAAAACAACAGGCAGAAGAGCTCAGGGATGAAGTCCTCTTTCGCTAATTTGGCCATATGTGTGAGGCAAGAAAATTTTCACATGAAAACAGCTGATGTTGGTGTAAACAAGCTCCATCAGATGATGAAATTCTAAGTGTAATGGAAAAGAGAAATGACCAAAATCCAATGCTTGATGAAGCATACCAAAATGATTGGAATATCATGATTCCCCAAACCAAAGAAATTCAGGGTGTTCTACCTTGTTTAGTGTCTGTGTATCAGAGCTTTATTCCTTTTATGATATATCGATATATGTAGATCAATATATCCACACATAATATGATCAATTTTTTCTCATTTTGAGAAAATTAATGGTACTGCTAAATTATTCAGTTCCAGATGGGTTGTCTAATTGAGAAATTAACTTTTCATTTTAATCTGAAGTCCTAGTCTATCCTCTGAAGCAAAGCATGTTCATCACACAAACATGCAGTACCAGCAAAAAGTACATAGCCAAAACAAACATGTGCAATAAAGGGAATTCCAGAGGCCTCACAATCCCTGACTTCAAACTTGACTATAGAACTACTGTAATTAAAACATCTTGAAACAGGCACAAAAACAGAGGGGTAGACCAATGGAATCAAATCGAAAACCCTGATATCAATCCACACACCTATGATCACTTGGATCTTGACAAAGAATCTAAAATTATACAATGGAAAACAGAAAGCTTCTTCAACAAATGGTGCTGACATAACTGGATGTTTGCATGTAGAAGAATAAAGATAGAGCCATATCTATCCTCATGTACAAAAATTAAGTTCAAAAGGATCATAGACCTCACCATAAACCAACCACACTGAACCTCATAGAAAATAAAGTGGAAAGTAGTCTTTAACACATTGGCACAGGAGGCCACTTCTTAAATATAGCACCAGTAGCACAGACACTGAGAATAACTATAAGTGGAACATCTAAAAATGAGAAGCTTCTGTAAGCAAAGGAAATGGTCAACAAGACAAAATGGCAGCCTACAGAATGGGAAAAACACTTAAACAAACCCACATCTGACTGAGAACAGATTTCCAAAATACACAAAGAACTCAAGAAACTAGACAGCAAAAGACCAATTAACCCAAATAAAAATGGGGTACAATTCTAAACAGAGAACTCTCAACAGAGGAATCTCAAATGTCTGAAAGGCAATTAAGGAAGCTCAACATTCTTAGTCATCAGAGAAATGCAAATCAGAACAAATCTGAGATATCATCTTATACCTGTCAGAATGGCCAAGACCACAAACACTGATGACAGTTCATGCTGGAGAGAACTGGGGTAAGGCTAACACTCTTCCATTACTGGTGTGTTATGTGCATTCTTCCCTCCATCCTGGTCCCAGAGTCCCATCTTTTCCAATTGAACACACCAGATGCTATATCAATTATGAAGCTGTTGGCCATTTGCTATCATTTCTTATTAGCTAACCCTGACTTAATTATTAACTCGTAACTGCTAATTTGAGTATTTCCATGTGGTCTTCTCTTACCAGAAAAGGGTCCGGACCTCTTACTCCTCTCATGTCCTACATGGTTGCTGACTGTGTCTTCATTTTTCTGAACCCTCCACTTGTCCTAGTCCCACCTAACTTGATTCCCCATTGGGCAATAGCATGCTAATTATCAACCAATAATAAAAATACACACACAAAAGGACTTCCCCCATCGTCTCCTCTTTTTTGTCTAAATATAAAGAATGGTTTCAACTTTAACATATTCAACATATTTAACATATATAACAGAACAGTTATCAAGTAAAAACTATCATTACAATATTTAGTCCATTAATATTTGGTAAGATTAAAAGAAAGTATTTTATCATCTATCCTATCTGTGTGAGTCTAAAGTCTTATATGTAGCTTATTTATATTATAACTAAGGAAAACTATAATTATAACTACCTGTCTTCAACTCCATCAAAGACTACAGAAAGATAATATATAAACACTAGAATTGACAGAGACATCTTTCTAACTTGCCAGTCACCCAATGGTCTTTTGAAATTTGGGGGGCATCAATCTTCAGCACATAGGGCAATGTATCTGGCAAACTTCTCTGTGAAGCAGGAGATTTTCAAATGTCTGCCTACATAGCAGTTTGTCAGTCATTTTTTTTGTAGAATGTCTTTCAAAGTATACCATGAAGTAGAAACTCTTTAGGACTGTCCCATCAAGTTCAGCAGTCACTTTCCTCTGGATTCTGAGTATCCAGGCTATCAAACAGTAAAAGGCAAGAGCAGTTTCTTGCCCGATTGTCTAATCTTGTCATGTTGAAAGCAAACTCCATAATGAGTTTCTACAATGCCTTTCTTCCTCTTAGATGTAATTGGTTTGCCAGGAGTAGTTTTGTCTCACTATCATGAAAAACCCTAAACCTTTTAAATGTCATATATTCTGAAGGTCTTTGAAAGGTTTGAAGAATATCTATCTATCTTAAATACCTCTCAGAATATATAGGAAACCGAACTAACCAAACTAAAAGTTCTGAATATTATAGGTGACTATATACAATATTTATTTAATAAAGAATTACATTTTAAAAGATCAGTATAAACACAATACTTAAACAAGAGAAATATGCATATCACAAATTTGACCTGAAATTTGTATCAATGAATGAAAATCCATACCAATACAAAAATATTCATTTCTGTATCATATTCCTAAAAAAGAATGACTGTGATCATTACCATTTAAAACCAATCCTGTATATATGAAAACAAATATTTATAAACAATATTTGGGAATGCGGGCATTGTTCTCTCCGAACTACTTCCTGCTATTGGGGGGGGCTGTCTTGGGGATCCCAAGAAGATACAGAAATCCTGATTGTAGTTGTGTGTAACTGCATAATCTCAAGTGTTTTGGGGAAGTTGGATCACCTGGGCCAATGCTTCAGGGTGTCTTGCTTTATCAATCCATATAAGCATGGAAGGAATCCACAACATTTTATTTTCTGTGGAAACACAAGTAAAAAGTCTTTTTCCCAAGTAACCTGTGCTTGTATTTAAATTGAGAGGTAAAGGCAGTTTTTAAATATATAAGTTAAGTTAATTAAGCAGCATTTATAATCAAATGTATTTTAGCAGCTCTTGTTTCTTCCTTACTGATTGAACAACTGAAAGACAAAACAATAGCATAGAGAATCCAGACCCTCTGTGTATTTTCCATTTTTACATGACTTTTTTTATTACTCTATATTATTTAACTTTATTTTTTACATTTTTGAGACAGGGTTTCTCTGTGTACTTTGGCTGCACTTGAAATTCCTGTCTTTGCCAAATCTCATCACTTCCTGGCTCCTGTCTGTACAGACTTCTAGATTTCTTTTTTAAGTATTTTTTTATATTTTATCTTTAAATTTAAATGACAAACAAGGTTGCCTCACATGTCAATTCTAGGTCCCAATACCTTTCCCTCCCCTCCTCCTGTGCCCTCCCACCAACCCCTCAAATATCCCCTGATTTCACCAGGGAGGCTGAGGACCTCCATGAGGGTGTCCATAGTCTGGCATTTCATCCAGGGCAGGGCCTAGACCCTACCCCCAAGAGTATAGGGTGAGAGTGCATCTCTCATTGTTGGATGGGAACCCAAAGTTCATTTGTATACCTGGGGTAAATACTGATCTACTACCCAAGGCTCAATAGATTACCTAGGTCTCCTCAATGGCACCCACATTTAGGGGGTCTTGATCAGTCCCGTGCTGGGTTCCCAGGCATCAGTCTGGGATTCAAGAGCTAACACTTTTCAGGTCAGCTGTTTCTTGGGGTTAAATCAGCCCAGTCTTAACCCCTTTGGTCATCAGTCCTCCCTCTCGGTCAATGGATTTCTTGAGTCAGCTCAGGGCTTAGTCATGGGACTCTGCCTCTGCTTCCATCAGCCACTGAATGAAGGTTCTGTTTCCCAGACTCTCTGGGCATGGGATTGTTGGCTGGCACTCCCCAGATCTATGTCTAAAATCCATATATGAGAGATCACATGCCATGTATCTCTTTTTGTGACTGGGTTACTTCACGCAGGGTGGTTTCTTCTAGTGCCATTCATTTGCCTGCAAATTTCAGGATTTCATTGTTTTTATCTGCTCAGTAGTACTCCAATGTATAAATGTACCACATTTCTCTATCCACTCTTTGGGTGAGGGGCATCTAGGTTGCTTCCAAGGTCTGGCTATTACAAATAATGCTGCTATGAACATAGTGGAACAGCGATCCTTGTTGTATGAATGGGCATCTTTTTGATATACGCTTAAGAGTGGACATGCTAGGTCTTGTGGTAAGTTTATTCCCATTTTTCTGAGGAATCTCCATACTGATTTCCAAAGTGGCTGTAGAAGTTGGCACTCCCACCAGCAGTGGAGGAGTGTTCCCCTTTCACCACATCCTCTCCAGCATAAATTGTTGAAGGTGTTTCTTATTTTAGTTATTCTGACAGGAGTAAGATGGTATCTTAGAGTTGTTTTGATTTGCATTTCCCTGATGGCTAAGGATGTTGAACACTTTCTCAAGTGACTCTCAACCATAATAGACTCCTCTATTGATAATTCTCTATTTAGTTCTTTAGTCCACATTTTAATTGGATCCTTTGGTGTTTTGGAGACTTGCTTCTTGAGTTCTTTGTAAATTTTGGAGATCAG